GTCTAGGTCCAAAAGACTTCTCAACAGCTTCTACCCCCAAGCCATAAGACTCCTGAACAGCTAATCATGGCTACCCGGAATATTTGCACTGCCCCCCCACCCCATCCTTTTTACGCTGCTGCTACTCTGTTAAGTATTTATGCATAGTCACTTTAACTCTACCCACATGTACATATTACCTCAACTACCTCAACTAGCCGGTGCCCCCGCACATTGACTATGCAACGGTACCCCCCTTAGTCTCGTGAAATTCTCATCTCACATTTTCATGGACTAAACTGAAAAGTAAATTGTAATAGTTATAGTTTTTTCCCAGGGCATCTCGTCTCGTTATCGTCATAGTTTTTGTCAGGAAAAACAGGTTGTTGATGAATATTTTATCATCGTTATTGTTGACGAAATTAACAATGCACACTACAGGAGGCAGTATGCACCCTTTCAACTAATTGTAGAAGAAGAAAATTGTCTTCTTCAAAATGGAGACGGCCTCAATGGTGCTGGCCATGTTCTTAGTCGCCGTAATGGAACACATATAATGATGAGATGTCTATGGTTCCCGCTAATAACCTCCCGGCACAGGAGGTTGGTGGCACCTTAATTGGGGAGGACGGGCTCGTGGTAACGGCTGGAGTGGAATTGTGGAATGGTTTCAAATACATCAAACAAATGGTTTCCAGGTGTTCGATGCCATTCCATTTGCTCTGTTCCAGCCATATTATGAGCCGTCCTCCCCTCAGGAGCCTCCACTGCCTCCCAGGTTATCTTCATATCTTCCGTGGACTGAAAAAGTATAATAAAATCATCAAAAAGCACTCTTTGAAAATAGTTTCATGACATTCCATTCTGAAATGTTATTCTTTACCATTCATGTTTGTGCATGAAAATGACTGTGTAATTTGTGTTATGCCATGACCTATGGAAAATAATGTTATCTTCTATATAGTCGAACCATAATTATCTGTCAGGTGATTCAACAGAATACTATTATAGTATATGTGACATTCACATGGGGAAAACATTCTGGGATGCATTTCACTTGGTCCTGGAAACGCTCAAATGGAAGGAAGGTACAATAATAAAATCATCCTGCTCATGAGTGTCTTGATATTTGCTCAATGAAAAATAACATGAGCACTAGATACCACTAGCTAGAGATAATACGTGAAAAACATTTTTGCAACGTTATGTATCATTTGGTTGTAGATATGCAAAGTGGTGTCTACACCATAGAACTAGAATTCTATGGACTCCCCCAAGGAAACCTGCAGTGGTAAGACAATGATAGAAGCCTTCAAAAGAATCCCACAAGACGACAAGATTAAAACTCGCCATTTTATTATGATAATGTTATTTGATATGTCAAATTACAAGTGTATGATGTAACATAAAAACAGTTACAAACATATGTATGCATATTTACATATATTTATGAAAAGTAACAAGCTACATCTGTATGAAGAAAATACAACTATGACATGAGTTATTGAACTATACATTTTACATCATATACTTGGAATTTTCAAACCATGATAGAAATACCTAGACGTATATAAACCAATATAACCAGAACAAGAGCTGTTAAGTTTTAGATGGAAACTATGATGGACGTGAGGCACTTTTTCGAGGTTGTCATGGTGTGAACCAACGGCACTAAGGAACTGAAAGAAAAGGTGCATGAGAAAGAAGGGAAACAGACAATGTTTACAGAAGAATTAGAGTACCATTTTTACTGCAATTTTCAAAACAAATGTTTTCCACTATTTAGAACTAATCACATAAATGTTACGTCATCAAGCGCTGTAAGAAGAAGAAAGCCTACATACATCAGTGCACCAAAGCATTGGAGAATTTAAATGTAACCACAACTGCTGTGAAAAGTAACCTTTTCAAACAATACACTGAAGAAACAAGTTTATATAGGCATTTCATTTTAACCTAGACAAAGTCAAGAATGTACATTTTTATGCATTCCAAAGATATGCACACTTTAAGATTGAAAGAATAACAAAAGACTAGCAGCAGTGGTTAAAAACTGAAGTCTTACATATGCAAAGTTAACTGACAGGTAAAAAAATATATTAAAGCAGACAGACATGTTGCATATATAATACAGTACATGACAGCGAGTTGCACTGTGCTGGTTAATGCAGAATGAAACCGGCTATTTCAGTATCTCTCAGCTAATGTATGTCCTACATTTTGCTTCTCAGCCAGCAAGTTTTTAAATCAGGTTCATCAAACCTTGGTTCAGCTTGCAATGTGCAGGGCAATCCAAATTACAATATGGGAGGAGAAAAAAAGGAAATGGACAAACAAACCAAACGGCTGAACACACGCACACACATACATACACCTAACAAACACACACTCGTCGTCATGGTTATATGCTGTCAGAGAACTAGATATTGTTTTAACAGTCTTTTATAGCGGATTTTTCTCTCCCTCCCAACACAATAAAATTAGTGATTGTATCTAGCAGCTTTATATATATCAAACTTTTTAAAAATAAGTGGACTGCCACTACTTTGCCTTGTTAGCACTCTAGGCTTCCTTCCTCTGTACAAAACTAGAAAGAAACTCTATTCAAAGCGCAATAGTCATTTCCATCATCAACGCCCTCTACTTTTCAATGTGAAATAATACTAAAAGGTGACCTATGTACATAAGGCTGTCAATTGAAGCTACAGTATATGCTGACAGCAGTTATAAATACAGCTCTATCTTTTAATTTCCAAAAAACAAAATGGGATTATTATCAGGTATTTAAATATAGTGTTACTTATTTACAGGTGTTTGGAGTTTGGTACCTGGGTAACGTCTAAATAGCGTTATTAAAGTGTCCTGTCACGGACTCAGTGTGGAGAGAGGTCTATGTGTTTCCCATGGTCAAGAGTTTGCATAGAAAGTAAAGAGTGCCCTGCATGGGGCATAAGGGTGGGATTTGGAAGAAGATGACTGCCTCCGTCCAGTCTGGAGACAAGACCGAGTTGCCACTTCCCTTTCTCGAGGAGTGGCGGGCCGGGGGATGGTGTTAATATCTATTGGCTAAAGTACAGGGCTGTAATGACAAGCTTTTCAAATTGGGAAGGGCGATTTTCTATCAGTTTGATAATGATTTTGTCTAACTTATCAAAGAAGCCTCTTTGTTCTCAAACATTATTTAGGTACACAGGCAGACAAGTTTCTAAAATCAACAGTTGATGCTGTTGTGTGGAATTAGCAATAACATACTGTCTTTTTGAGATGCAATATCAAATTAATACAACTGGGGGTCTGTCTACAGTCATTCATTGGTTGTTATCGTGGCTATGTTCTTCTGTTTGAAATATGGATTTGAACAAGGACCGTCATATCTACCAGTCAGGCTTCTACAAAGTCAGGTTTGTTACAACTACTCAAAACAGATATCAGTTTATATGATCACCGTGCTTGACATCTCACTGCCTTTGCATATGAAGACCTATGCACATACAGTATACAGTGTGCAACAATCATACTCATATGCTATAATAACCTATAGCCAAATGTACTTTCTGTGACATTTAAAACGATGCACCCATTCGTTCACGACTGGGCAAATGTTAAATTATGTATTCTAGGAGTTACAGTGGACAAGCTGCAAAATGACCTAATAACAGCAGTACATTTGACTCATTCTTACAAATACTTCAATCACAAAGGGACAGACATACAGTACTTTGAAATTTGGAGATGGTGCTGTAACCAAAGCTTGGAGACCAGTGCTTTCAAGGTGGGTTTCTCTCACACTAAATTTGAGTTTTAATTGGTGATTTCTTGTTGCCAACTAACTAAAAACATTTAATTTTTCCCTAAACTAGCCTAATGTAAGTGCCTTGTTCCACAAAGGGGCACTCAATACCACTTACTCACCAAAATTAAATCGAAAAACTTGCTGGTTGAGCAAAATTTCAGCTTTATAAATTCAAAACATAAAATGAGCAAGAAAAAATGACAAACACCAGTTTCACCATCAAAATTGAACATCTGGTAAAGTACATGGAATTGTGAAGTATTGGTCTCATTCGTGTAAGGTTATTCAAGAAGCGTTAACATTCATTCTTGACTTGGAAAAAAAGGTTTTGGGGGGATGAAGGATGGCAAAATACATTACCATGTTTTCCCTTCTGCTCATGGAATCAATCCCTTTATGTTGGAATGCAATCAAGTGGTCCAAATCGCCTTACCAAAACAAGGAAATAATTCTAACATTATCTAGGGTGAATGTCAAAAGCTATGTCATACTGTACCTGTCAAAAGATAAAGGTGTTCTGTAATTTTTTTGTTCAACCTTCGATGAATAGGAAAAATAAGGAAACGCGTACACATCCACCACAGCAACATCTCCGAACTGTTAAATTACTATATAAGAATGGTCTTATGGTTAATGTACCATTAGAATTGTTTGAAGGTTACCTTTTGGGGGGGAATAAAACATTTCTAGTGCACTTTCTCTGTCTAATAATTACACTGTCAGCGAATGCTCGAGTCAAAGGAAAGGCCACTGTTACCCAAACGCAAATTCACAAAAAAGCAAGAACATATCCCTTTTAGCATACTCGAACACTAAGTATGTTTTCTGTACGCACAATTGTTTTGTTTTCGTTGTTTGTTATTCCTTCATAAAGTTACACATTACTTACAGAGAGAGTCTGGCATGGTGGCCTGGTTGTGTGTATTATGTACGAGTGTGAGTGTGTGTTTAGTAATATCACCATGTCTGTTAATCTCAACGCCTTCTCCTCGCGTTAAGCTCCTGAACTTCACGCTCAGAGCCCGTAAAGCACGAGGTTCGTCTTCGTTGCTCTCTGCGTCAGAGGACACACACTCAAACATCTCCAAAAGACCTCCAGAGCCAGGGGTCTACAACAACATGTCACCCCCTCTGAGAGGTGAATGAAAAACAAGCTTCCGCTTTCCTGTGTTAGCTAGCTGTGTTGTGGGTAGGTCGTCCCGGGTGAGGGGGTCAGAGTTCAGTCAGGTCACCCGGCGGCCTTGTGCTTGCCCCCGCAGCATCGGCAGGCCTCCCCACAGTGGTGGCAGGCTCTCAGCGGCAGGTAGCAGCACATACAGGGAGCGATGAAGGACAGCGCCACCAGGGCCAGCCAGCGCAGGCAGAACTGCTCGTCAGCCGTGTCACACGAGCACGGGTCCGAGAAGTCTCCCTCAGAGTCGGACATGCAGTGGTAGAGCATGCTCTCGGCACACAGCATGCAGCTGACTTTATAGATGCACTGCTTGATGGGGTCTGGAGCGTCCTGGCACTGGCCCCGCCGGTTGTCCTCATGGTTGAACATTTCCCGGCAGTAGATACAGCGTGAACGCTCACCATCCTCCCGCCGCCGCCGTCCTTTTTTGGACTTGAGCAGCGGCGAAGGCTGGGTCTTGATGGAGGAGTCTTTACCCAGCCCTAGCCCCAGTCCTGTGCCCATACCCATACTCCCAGGGCCCGAGTGGGACTCCATTCCCGGCCCCTCTGGGAAGAGGTACTCACACTTCTTGTTGTCCAGTTTGTGGAAGGGGGCGGGGAAGTCAGGGTCCTCTCGCTCGACATCCTGCTTCCACATGACGGGGTGGCGGTAGTCCTCGTAACCGCGGATCAGAAGGTCCTTACGAGGGTTGATCCTTACGATCTCCTCCTCGTCCATGTGAAAGCTGACGTGGCGCGTCGACTTGAAGGACACCTGCTGGAGACATAGTTATTATATTATTGTTTATTCAGTTCAGAGGGAGCACAACAGACATTTTAGCAGGGTGTCAGCATATATTTAACTTATTTTAGCATGCATCTTGTCTGATCTTTACTGTCCTTCCATGACATGTAATAAGACATTCTTCAGAATTAGTATACTTAACTAGGTTTAATCTCCAATAGCGATAAAGGGCTTATGATATACGGTAATATAGAGTGGGTCTAGAGATGTTTGGTACTGACCTGAGGAGGCAGGTAGCGGCGGTTGTTGGAGGGGAACTCGTCAAAAGGCTGAGCGCGGACGTAGCAGCCTCGGTAGGGCTCAGTGGACACCACACTGTGGACACTCAGGGGGGAGAAGGGCTCCTTCATGGGCGTACAGATGGAGGGCGGCTCCTCACACAGGGGCTGCAACAACCACACACAACCAGTCAGTCAGACATTGACTACATCTATCAACTTCTATATTCAACACATCATACATTCCAACTTATACAAGGCGTCTTTATTATACTTTCAAATTAGAAGCATAACACTGATTCCTGTAGCTACAGACGGCACTGATATCCTACCTATATGAATTTCACATTTGTCCACCAGGTGGTGGCCAGAGCCTACATTTCTCCCTGTGCTTCTGCCTGTGAGATGACTCAAGCCCCTTCTGTTGAGAACTCAGAGTTCCTATCAGCCTCCCATGTGTTCCCACAGGCATTTTTATTGGTGTGAGATCTACAAACATGGGCCTGATAAACACATAGCCACTTCTAACCCAGTCGCCGGTTTCGTAGTCCCGTGTGGCTCAGTTGGTAGAGCGTGGCGCTTGCAACACCAGGGTTGTGGGTTTCATGGGGGACCAGTACGAAAATGTATGCACTCACTACTGTAAGTCACTCTGTATAAGGGCGTCTGCTAAATTACTAAATTGTAAAACATTCCCTCCTCTTGAAGGCTAAATGTGTCCTCTAAGGAGAGTATTTATATTTAGGGGCTCAGAAGACATTCCAGCAGCATCCACACACAAAACAAATGTGAGTAAATAGCTCCTAGTCAACTGCAAAGGACAAATACTGTTAAGAACTATGTAACACACAGACAGACCAAATACATTCATGTTCAGACACACACACACGTTAGGTGACAATGGACTATGAGCCCAAGCCCAGCAGGAGAGGAAGAAAGGTATGGAGGAGAGGAGACGGAGATAGGCAGCCATGACAGAGAGAGGCCAGCACATTTCGGCACTCACACAAGCATGGTGCTCCCATCTGTGCACATGCCAGAGTACACACAAACATTCTTACAGACCTGCACTGGCACACAAATACTCACACATATGGTACGCAACCGTACACGCAGTCACACAAAGATATATACTCTCAAACGCATAAGCATATACAGTGGGGGAAAAAAGTATTTAGTCAGCCACCAATTGTGCAAGTTCTCCCACTTAAAAAGATGAGAGAGGCCTGTAATTTTCATCATAGGTACACGTCAACTATGACAGACAAATTGAGAAAAAAAATCCAGAAAATCACATTGTAGGATTTTTAATGAATTTATTTGCAAATTATGGTGGAAAATAAGTATTTGGTCACCTACAAACAAGCAAGATTTCTGGCTCACAGACCTGTAACTTCTTCGTTAAGAGGCTCCTCTGTCCTCCACTCGTTACCTGTATTAATGGCACCTGTTTGAACTTGTTGTCAGTATAAAAAGACACCTGTCCACAACCTCAAACAGTCACACTCCAAACTCCACTATGGCCAAGACCAAAGAGCTGTCAAAGGACACCAGAAACAAAATTGTAGACCTGCACCAGGCTGGGAAGACTGAATCTGCAATAGGTAAGCAGCTTGGTTTGAAGAAATCAACTGTGGGAGCAACTATTAGGAAATGGAAGACATACAAGACCACTGATAATCTCCCTCGATCTGGGGCTCCACGCAAGCTCCCACCCCGTGGGGTCAAAATGATCACAAGAACGGTGAGCAAAAATCCCAGAACCACACAGGGGGACCTAGTGAATGACCTGCAGAGAGCTGGGACCAAAGTAACAAAGCCTACCATCAGTAACACACTACGCCGCCAGGGACTCAAATCCTGCAGTGCCAGACGTGTCCCCCTGCTTAAGCCAGTACATGTCCAGGCCCGTCTGAAGTTTGCTAGAGTGCATTTGGATGATCCAGAAGAGGATTGGGAGAATGTCATATGGTCAGATGAAACCAAAATATAACTTTTTGGTAAAAACTCAACTCGTCGTGTTTGGAGGACAAAGAATGCTGAGTTGCATCCAAAGAACACCATACCTACTGTGAAGCATGGGGGTGGAAACATCATGCTTTGGGGCTGTTTTTCTGCAAAGGGACCAGGACGACTGATCCGTGTAAAGGAAAGAATGAATGGGGCCATGTATCGTGAGATTTTGAGTGAAAACCTCCTTCCATCAGCAAGGGCATTGAATATGAAACGTGGCTGGGTCTTTCAGCATGACAATGATCCCAAACACACCGCCCGGGCAACAAAGGAGTGGCTTCGTAAGAAGCATTTCAAGGTCCTGGAGTGGCCTAGCCAGTCTCCAGATCTCAACCCCATAGAAAATCTTTGGAGGGAGTTGAAAGTCTGTGTTGCCCAGCGACAGCCCCAAAACATCACTGCTCTAGAGGAGATCTGCATGGAGGAATGGGCCAAAATACCAGCAACAATGTGTGAAAACCTTGTGAAGACTTACAGAAAACGTTTGACCTGTGTCATTGCCAACAAAGGGTATATAACAAAGTATTGAGAAACTTTTGTTATTGACCAAACACTTATTTTCCACCATAATTTGCAAATAAATTCATTAAAAATCCTACAATGTGATTTTCTGGATTTTTTTTCTCAATTTGTCTGTCATAGTTGACGTGTACCTATGATGAAAATTACAGGCCTCTCTCATCTTTTTAAGTGGGAGAACTTGCACAATTGGTGGCTGACTAAATACTTTTTTCCCCCACTGTACTTTCTGTCTTTCACACACAAGCATACACTCCCTGGCTCCATCCAGGCTTGTCCATCGCTCCCTCCCTCGTCCTCTCTGCGTGTGGAGGAGGCTGCTGGTTAGTCAGTGCAGTGTGTAAAGTAGCCCACGCCAGTGTTTTAACGCACAGCGGAAATCTGGTTTGTGCCCAGCTGCTATTACAGTAATTACTGTCCTGTGGTTGCTAAGAGATGCCTCTCGCTCTCTCTCTCTGCTAACACAGTGTGTGTCTTCTCTCCTCTGCTTCTCGGAATGCTACAATACTGTGTCTCACACACACCCGGTAGGTTAGCCGTCTGAGCAGGAATGACAGAATAAGAAGAGGAGTGGAAAGAACAGAAAGAACAGAACAGGATCAAATAAGTGTGTATACGAGAGCATATGTATATGTGAGTGTGTATGCATGTGTGTGTGAGAGAGCACAGCCAACGAGTCTGCCGAGAGAATGTCATAAACCAGCTCCAGCTGGAGAAATGCGGCTCAGAACTTAAAAAGCCAGATGACAGCTGTGTGTGTGTGTGAGTTAGGGGGATGAAATGGGAACCAGATTTGGGCTTCCTTTTAAAGCACTGGGCTGAGCCCCACCATTCAAAGGCATGCGTGGGGGCCAATCTGGATCTGATCTGACCCCAGAGATGTTGAGGGGGAGATGGTGGGGAGCAACCTGGCGCAGGACCAACTTCAGAGCTTCACGCGCTTCCACCCTCCCAGGCACACACAGGGGCTGGACTGCTCCGCATTCTGGAAACCCCATAGGGCACAGGTGTGTGTCTCTGTGTGTGTACTGTATGTGTGTGTAGTCTATGTTATGTGTGTGAATATGTTGTATCAGCGACTCATAAGGACTCACAGGTCCAAGCATCTGCATGATGACCTCTAAAATATCTGGGTCCTCTGTTCAGTATTTCATTGTGAAACATCTCAAGCAAAAAGCATTCAGATGTGTGTTAGAGAGAGAGAGAAGCAGAGGGGGAGAGAGTGGGATTGTGTATGACGAGTTCTTCAGTTTTACAGACGATGACTCATTCCTAGTATGAATCCTCGTAACGCTGCTCAGCCCTGCTCTACACTGATTCTACAAGTGCTTCTCTTCAGTACGCTTTCTCCTCAACCAAACTACCTTACTTGACTAAAACTTGCACCGTTTGACCCACTACTTGGGTTTGCTTCTTTAATCTCTCCTGAACTATACCACCCCACCTCCTCTCAAATACTTGGCTGCATCAAAATCTCTGCAAACACAAACTACATTTCCCACAAGTCCTATCTTCTACATCCATTTGAGATAAGGAAAGACACATCCATCCCCCTCAGCTGAGGTCGTGCAGTAGATGTGGTTTTTCATTCTCATAAACCTGTCAAATGTTGCATCTAAACAAGGTTCTGCACAGGCTAAGTCAAGGACAGCAGCATCTTGTCAATTAAGTGTGTGAATGGCTATGAGAGTGTGTGGGGGGTGCCATTTGTGCAGTATGTCAGCCTTTGACTGAGTGTGTATGCATGTGTCGACTGTGTGTATATGCGCGTGTGCGTGTGTGTGAGACTGGCGGTGGGTGTGAGGTGTCAGGGTGAGGGAGGGCAGGATGTGGGCTGATGAGAGGGCCCTACACCACATACAGGCTCACACAAGATACAGAGCCACGCATAACACACACACACACACACACACATCTGGACTGGGGGTTAAGAGGTTCCAGATACCAAGAGACCTGGCTGGCCATTGATGTCTGCATGTGCTCAGAGCTTCAGAGTATCAGGGGAAAACCAGACATCCCAAAACATTCTACATGGCAGACATGTTACTAGTCCAGTCAAGCTCATACAGAGAATGACTAGGCTAAATCCAATAAAAGGCCAAACGAGCCTCCAAAGTGACCCTACCTCCCATGTCATAGTGACTCGTCTCATGGCTCTTGGCTGGGCTACAGCACAAGGTCACTTTCAGCTAAATCAATTAAATGTCAGACCTTCGATGAAGAAATGAAAGTGAACAAAACCCAACTTATTTCTATGGCCTTTTTAGTCTGCACACACAGTTCTCGTCGTCCGAGTTAAATTCTGGGATGGAGCACAGCACATAGCGATGGCCGGAACGTGTCCAGTCATGAAGAGGTGCAGGCTAATATCACACAGTAGCTATGTTTTCATTAACTTGTCCAGTGATTTATTTTCAAACTTTTAAAATGTTTGCATATAAAATAGATGAGACAGTTGCCTGCTAGGGTGCATTTTCATTTAACTATCTTGTGTCGATGAAAACAGCTGGACGTAATGACATCACACCAAATAAACAAAAAACATCTGCAAAAAACTTGTGTCAAATAAAAATGTAGTGGTTGAAGTGCTTCCATTACCTATTTAGGCAAATTGCGCATGAAAAAATTGGCAACAACCTACAGTGCCTTGCAAAAGTATTCATCCCCCTTAGCGTTTTTCCTATTTTGTTGCATTACAACCTGTAATTTAAATGGCTTTTTATTTGGATTTCATGTAATGGACATACACAAAATAGTCCAAATTGGTGAAGTGAAAAAAATTACTTGTTTCAAAAAATTCAAAAAAATAAATAATGGTAAAGTGGTGCGTGCATATGTATTCACTCCCTTTGATATGAAGCCCCTAAATAAGATCTGGTGCAACCAATTACCTTCAGAAGTCACATAATTAGTTATATAAAGTCCACCTGTGTGCAATGTAAGTGTCACATGATCTGTCACATGATCTCAGTATATATACACATCTGTTCTGAAAGGTCCCAGAGTCTGCAACACCACTAAGCAAGGGGCACCACCAAGCAAGCGGCACCATGAAGACCAAGGAGCTCTACAAACAGGTCAGGGACAAAGTTGTGGAGAAGTACAGATCAGGGTTGGTTTATAAAAAAATATCAGAAACTTTGAACATCCCACGGAGCACCATTAAATCCATTATAAAAAATTTGAAAGAATATGGCACCACAACAAACCTGCCAAGAGAGGGCCTCCCACCAAAACTCACGGACCAGGCAAGGAGGGCATTAATCAGAGAGGCAACAAAGAGACCAAAGATAACCCTGAAGGAGCTGCAAAGCTCCACAGCAGAGATTGGAGTATCTGTCCATAGGACCACTTTAAGCCGTACACTCCACAGAGCTGGGCTTTACGGAAGAGTGGCCAAAAGGCATGTGGGAGACTCCCCAAACATATGGAAGAAGGTACTCTGGTCAGATGAGTCTAAAATTGAGCTTTTTGTCCATCAAGGAAAACGCTATGTCTGGCACAAACCCAACACCTCTCATCACCCCGAGAACACCATCCCCACAGCGAAGCATGGTGGTGGCAGCATCATGCTGTGGGGATGTTTTTCATCGGCAGGGATGGGAAACTGGTCAGAATTGAAGGAATGATGGATGGCGCTAAATACAGGGAAATTCTTGAGGGAAACCTGTTTCAGTCTTCCAGAGATTTGAGACTGGGACGGAGGTTCACCTTCCAGCAGGACAATGACCCGAAGCATACTGCTAAAGCAACACTTGAGTGGTTTAAGGGGAGACATTTTAATGTCTTGGAATGGCCTAGTCAAAGTCCAGACCTCAATCCAATTGAGAATCTGTGGTATGACTTAAAGAGAGCTGGAGCAGTTTTGCCTTGAAGAATGGGCAAAAATCCCAGTGGCTAGATGTGCCAAGCTTATGGAGACATACCCCAAGAGACTTGCAGCTGTAATTGCTGCATAAGGTGGCTCTACAAAGTATTGACTTTGGGGGGGGGGGGGGGTTTGGGGGTGAATAGTTATGCACACTCAAGTTCTGTTTTTTTTGTCTTATTTATTGTTTGTTTCACAAGAAAAAATATGTTGCATCTTCAAAGTGGTAGGGATGTTGTGTAAATCAAATGATACAAACCCCCCAAAAATCAATTTTAATTCCAGGTTGTAAGGCAACAAAATAGGAAAAATGCCAAGGGGGGTGAATACTTTCGCAAGCCACAGTATATGCCCTCCCACCTATTAGCTTCATGTCTCAGGTAGCCCGCGAAAGCCAGCATGGATAGAATGCAATAATTGACTAATATTTGCCATATTCTAATAATTCTCATGTGCCAACCTATCACCACAGTCTGTGCTATGGTGAAACTTGCACTCCTGTAGATCTGAAATAACTTGATGGCGAAACTTGCCAGCCAACCAGAAAAGCAAGGTGAAGCAATTTAGGCATTCTTGAAAGTCAGGACAATCCTTGTCCTGCAAAGAAACATTATATTTATAGTTGAATTTTTTTGTTGCAAGCAGTAGACAGAATTAAATGTGGAGTGGAGCTTTATAGTTACGCGGTGACATCACTTGCCTCGCGTACCTTCAAAATGATTTGGCAATCATACTTTATTCGAAAAACACCATTTCCATCATCATTTGTCACAATAAAGACAGTTTGACAAAAGAACGGATAAAAATGTTGTCTATCTTTAGAAAATGTATCCTGTATCTGCCGTTCCATTACACATATCGCAAAATACATTGCATTTTGTTGAATAAACCTCGGTCAATGGAAGCTTGCCTAGTGTGTGGTGGCATTTGAGTCGAGCGTTAGTTAGCTCCATCTCTTTGGCTGCGTGGCTTGGTGCGAGAGTGTGACTAGCCTCACAGTTTCTCGCCCGTGTAGCCCACTCCCAGGTCTCAGACCGCAACACTCTGATGCCAAATTACCAATGCGACACCCTCGGTTGCTCACTTACTGAACCCCCCTGCTCCTCCCACCCACTGGCCGCCCGCCGGCTCCTTTGCTGCCTAGCAACAGCGGTCATTGGACTTCCTGTATGGCTGATTTCTTAAAGCGGAAGCTGCTCTCCACAGGAACAGGAACATATCCTCTCCTTCCTCTCACGCCCTCTGACCTTCTCTACTCCACTCTGTGAATGAGGTCAGCTACTGTTGGGTCAAAGGTGATTGCAGCCCAGCCACCAGATCACTGGTGGACACAAAACCCACAGATACTGGTAATTAAAGAGCAGCAGAGGATACTAAATCATTAGCTTAGCAGGTCATCTGAAACAATGCCTTTTGTAAACAGGTTCAGTTTGCCATGTATACTTTCACAAATACCATGCATTGGCCATTCGTGTCACAAATCTGATGATAGATTTGTCTACTTGTGGTGTTTCATAAGCTAAACTAGAGCAAGGAGCAGTGTTGTGTTTCTACAACACACTCCATTTCTAAAGCAAAATCAGCTTGGGTGTGTAGGCCTATACCTGTACTCCTTGTTGATGAGATTGAGAAAACTTGGCTAACTACACTGCCGAAACAGTACCAGTAGCTTGTGAAAGCTCATACTAAGGAGGACAAAGAGAACTAACTCCTTTACCATCTTACCAACACACTACGCCTGAGCACAGCTCAATCTATCAATAGATGAGGAAATACGAGTGGTTTCAGATAACCCACGAAGACAAATTGGAGAAATGTACCATGTTGACTTTTTTTACGCAACTAGGTTCCCAGGTATCAGTTTTGCCCGGGTGACAGATATGCACACCTAAGCTGTGGCCACACTCGACAACTCCCCAGCAATGAAAGGTAAGGCAAGGCCCTGGCTGTTAAAACAGACCCATATCCTAAAGACAACTGTCAGAGGAAAAGACAAAGGGCCTGAAGCAGTACTGGGATAGAGTGTCGTGTTGAGCCACTGCTCAGATTTACCTCGGTCCTGCGTCCTTGATTCAAGCACAGGCAATAGAACTGAATTTTACTAGACTGGTGAGAAGTCAGGTTAGTCCTACAGAAAACCGTAGCGCTACCAAATAAAGACATGTACATGGAGAATATACGAGGACCCTAGTTCCTGGACTCACCTGTAATCCATCTTCAAGGGAGTCCGAGTCACCAAACGCTGGACAGCCTGGAAAAGAGAAGATTGAATAAAATCTGAAATTCAATAAGACTTCCAGCATGTAGCTACACAGATACAGATGAGTGAGAGAGAGAGAGAGAGAGAGAGAGAGAGAGAGAGAGAGAGAGAGAGAGAGAGAGAGAGAGAGAGAGAGAGAGAGAGAAAGAAAGAAAGAAAGAAAGAAAGAAAGAAAGAAAGAGAGTTCACATAACATTACTGTATATCCCCACATCACCAAGTCCCATTATATCAAAAGTCCCTAAAATGTCCCCAGACGTCACACATCCCCACAAGCATGCCACTGGTGATAGAGGGAAGAGGGAAGCCATTGAGGGAGGTATGGTAGGCCCAGACTTACATCCGCCATCACAGCTAAATGGGGAAATGAAAGCTACTCTGTGTTAGTAAGACACATGGCCTAATGAAATCTACTCTTTGCTTGTATAAGTGCAACTCGGGTTGAGGATAAAAAGCCATGACTCGGTCCAAAGATTTTACATTCACTGAGGCCGAGTTTCAAGAAAGTAGACTTATGATAAGAATACTACATTAAACAAAAATACAAAATGCAACAATTTCAATTGAAATAAATTCATTCATAATCTATGGATTTCACATGACTGGAAATACAGATATGCATCTGTTGGTCACAGATACTTTCAAACAAAGGTAGGGGCGTAGAGCAGAAAACAAGTCAGTATCTGGTGTGACCACCTCATGCAGCGCAACACATCTCCTTCGCATAGAGTTGATAAAGCTGTTGATTGTGGCCTGTGGAATGTTGTCCCACTCTTCAATGGCTGTGCGAAGTTGCTGGATATTAGCGGAAACTGGAACACGCTGTCGTACACGTAGATTCAGAGCATCCCAAACATGCTCAATTGGTGACATGTCTGGTGAGTATGCAGGCCATGGAAGAACTGGGACATTTTCAGCTTCCAGGAATTGTGTACAGATCCTTGCGACATGGGGCCGTGCATTATCATGCTGAAACATGAGGTGATGGCGGCGGCGGAATGGCACGACAATGGACCTCAGGATCTCATCACGGTATCTCTGTGCATTCAAATTACCATCGATAAGATGCAATTGTGTTTGTTGTCCGTAGCTTATGCCTGCCCACACCATAACCCCACCATGGGGCACTCTGTTCACAACGTTGACATCAGAAAACCGCTCGCCCACACAATGCCATACAAGTGGTCTGCAATCTGCCCGGTACAGTTGAAACTGGGATTCAACCGTGAAGAGCACACTTCTACAGCGTGCCAGTGGTCATCGAAGGTGAGAATTTGCCCACTGAAGTCGGTTACGACGCCGAACTGCAGTCAGGTCAAGACCCTGGTGAGGACACCAAGCACGCAGATGAGCTTCCCTGAGACAGTTTGACAGTTTGTGCAGAAATTCTTCAGTTGTGCAAGCACACAGTTTCATCAGCTGTCAGGTTGGCTGGTCTCAGACGATCTCGCAGGTGAAGAAGCCGGATGTGGAGGTCCTGGGCTGGCTATGGTTATACGTGGTCTGTGGTTGTGAGGCCGGTTGGACGTACTGCCAAATTCTCTAAAGCGACGTTGGAGGCGGCTTATGGTAGAGAAATGAACATTCAATTATCTGGCAACAGCTCTGGTGGACATACCTGCAGTCAGCATGCCAATTGCACGCTCACTCAAAACTTGAGATATCTGTGGCTTTGTGTTGTGATTAAACTGCACATTTTAGAGTGTCCTTTTTTGGTCCCCAGCACAACGTGCACCTGTGCAATGATCATGCTGTTTAATCAGCTTCTTGATATGCCACACCTGTCAGGTGGATCGATTATCTTGGCAAAAGAGAAATGGTCACTAACAGGGATGTAAACAAATTTGTGCACAGCATGAGGGAAATAAGCTTTTCGTGTGTATGGAACATTTCTGGGATCTTTTATTTTAGCTCATGAAACCAACACTTTACATGTTGCGTTTATATTTTTGTTCAGTGTAAGTAATCGTACTGTTGAACTTGTACCTGACTCTTAACAACATCATGTCTAAAAACAAGCTTTTATTGAAATGTTGGGGGAAAGAAAATTTGTCCATAGTTAAATGTTGGCAGTAGTGTAGAAAACAGAGATTAGCTTCTTTCCACTGGGACGGACGAAGAGGAAACGGTTTGTACCTACGGCATCAAGAGACTCTTTTAAGACTCCCAATTCACTTAATTAGGATCACCAAGACCTCATTTAAAACAAGCCAGGCAAGCAGCAGGAGAAACCAGGCCTCTGTCTGTCCCTGTCTGTGTGTCTCTCCGTCTCTAGTTTAGAGAAGAAGACTGTCGGGTCGAAACGTTGCACAATAAAAAACTGTGGGAGCATTCAACAGTGTGCGTGTATCTATATTTCTGTGTCAGTCTCTGCGTAAAAAAAATATTTGTATTTATTTCACCTTTATTTTTCCAGGCGAGTCAATTAAGAACAAATTCTTATTTACAATGATGGCTTGGCCAAACGTCTGTCTGTAGCACGTTGAGACAGACTTTCTGCAGCACGACTCTGCCAGTGTTGGACCATGGAGCTGCCTGAACCATGTGCCCACCGTTGCCATGGCAACAGAGGATTGCAAGGTTGACACACACACACACACACACACTAAGAAGCACACACTCGTACACACACAGACTTCGAAGCACACACACTGCAGTCCGGGAGCAGAGCTATGCAACAGGAATACAGAGGAACCTGCCTGTGTGGAGGAGAGGCATTACACAACACTGGAGGAATACAGAGGAAGCCAGAACAGAACAGAGGCTACAGAGAGGAGAGGAGCAGAGTAGAACAGGAACTGGGAGCCAGGCAGCACTCTTATTATACAGCCATTCCTGACAAGACCAAAGGCATGTGTGCTAATTTACAGCAATGATAATTCTGCTAATATGCTAGTATTGACTGTTACCTCTACTGGTTTATCAGTACCTAAGACATTCAGAGCTAGAGTTATACGGTCATTTAGGTATAGAGCGCTTCTTCATGTTGTTGTTAGACACCATCAGTTTCCTCCCCAGGTCTACAGGGCCAGGGAGTGAAGGAGATATCCATAGAGCCCAAGCCAGGTTTTAGTCTTGAGTAACACAGGCCAGGAGGCTGGATGGCAGATTGCTGAGCTGGCAGCTCTCCTGCTAATTGGACACATTTGCTACCTATGGCATTACCTCTGCTGGAAACGCTTATCATAGCCCCAAGCTGCTGTATCAAGCTCAGCCCATCTCCAAACACTTAGCCCAGCCTACACTAGCCTCAGCCCATCTGTAACCAGGTTAGCCTAGCTTCTGCCCATCAACAACCAGGTTAGCCTAGCCCAGCTTCTGCCCCTCAACAACCAGGTTAACCTAGCCTAGCCCAGGTTCAGCACATCAACAACCAGGTTAACCTAGCTTATCCTCAGCCCATCTCTAACAAGGCAAGCCTCACTCTCTGTGGAGTCGGCAGAAAGTGGATGTTTCTGGTTTTTAGGGATACAGCATTTTCAACCTAACTTCCGGAGCATTTTCAACCTAACTTCCAGAAGTAGGGACTCCGCTAGCCCAAACTCCACCTAGCCTATTCTACCTTAAAGCCTAAACTCAAAATTCCATGAGACACAGACTGCCCCTATATTGACATAAATGCGTCCCTGTGCCCCATCCGCTAACTCGACTGTCTACGCTGCCAGTCTGTACAGGAAGTGGTGCCCTTATCTCCACCACAGCTGGCAAAGATAAGATAGGAGGGCCAATCATGGGTGAGTGAGCAGGGAGCAGGGGAAGTCATCACAGCTAATCAATGCTACGCATCAACCACCAGGAGAACAGGTCAATCATTACATGCCACAGACATAGACCAACACACAATCACACGCAGATATGTACGCTTGCACACACAGACTCTCACACACACTAATTCATACAAACACACACATGTCAGAGGAAAGGAGTCTACAAAAGCATGAGTTCCGTGAGGTGAGACTGTACTGAACTGAGGTGGACTAAAGCTCAGGGGTTCTTCCTAACCCACCTTGGTTGATGTCCTCGATGGCCCTGCGGATCCCTCTATCAAAGGCCCTGGCATCGGCAGGACTCTGGAAGGTCAGGCCAAACTTCTTGTCGTTGATCCTCCAATGGTGGAATATGGGGTTGACCTTGTTGTAGACCAGGTCCTTCTTTAGAATACACTCCAGAACAACCTGACCACACAGACACAGAGAGAGACGAACATATCTGTTAGTGACTTGAAGTTCCCAGATGGTAAAACGTTGGTCCAACTAATGCAAAATAATATGATACAAAAACACACAGCTCACAATCTAGTCTAGCTCCCTCCAGAAGCTGCAAGAAACCCAAAAAATAATTTATTCACCCAATAAGCAAAGCCATTTATGGTTAAAGGGATACTGCGAGATTCTACGGTTTTATGTTACTGTACAGGTACCTGTAGACTTCCAGTCATTGCGCTAACGCTAATTAGCATTGGCTCACAAAACTCTCTAACTACCATCATAGGCAAAAAAAACAGTATCCACAAGTTCACCTGACACTGGGTAAGTAGAAAAATGCCTGAATTGCCAAAATCTTGCAGTACCCCTTTAAGTAGAAATCCATCTTGATATGAGAGTGTAAAATCAATAAGTGGAAACTATGTTATTTACCCCTGTCCGAGGGAGCCTTTGAGGAACAGACATCTAACCTCCATCTTACTCCTCACTGTAAGCTGTTTAATTGTGTCACGTTCAAATACAACACAGAAAAACGAAGCGCGTGGAGAAAAAAGAAAAGCCCCAACCATGTCCCGACACTGGATATGACAAGAAACTTCAGAAAAATAGAAACAATCCAAGTCCAACACAATAATTTCAGCTATTTCTTCCCCCCTCCTCATAAATTTGTAAAACACATAACATAGTGCGGTTTTATTACAAATTATGATAAAGCTGGAGTGGGTGGTAAGTTTTGGAGGCAGCTAAAGAAACTACAGTGCCTTCAGAAAGTATTCACACCTCTTGACTTTTTCCAAATGTAGTTGTGTTACAGCCAGTGGAGTTATGTTTTTAGAATTTCTTTCAAATTAATTCAAAATTAAAAGTTGAAATGTCTTGAGTCAATAAGTATTCAGCCCCTTTGTTATGTCAAGCCTAAATAAGTTCAGGAGTAAACATTTGCTTAACAAGTCACATAAGTTGCATGGACTCACTTTGTGTGCAATGATAGTGTTTAACCTTATTTTTGAATAACTACCTCATCTCTGTACCCCACACATACAATTATCTGTAAGGTCCCTCAGTCGAGCAGTGAATTTCAAACACAGATTCAACCACAAAGGTCAGGGAGGTTTTCCAATGCCTCAAAAAGAAAGCAGACATTGAATATCCCTTTGAGCATGGTGAAGTTACTAATTACACTTTGGATGGCGTATCAATACACCCAGTCACTACAAAGATACAGGCATCCTTCCTAACTCAGTTGCCAGAGAGGAAGGAAACCGCTCAGGGATTTCACCATGAGGCAAATGGTGACTTTAAAACAGTTAGAGTTGAATGGCTGTGATAGTAGAAAACAATATTGTAGTTACTCCACAATACTTACCTAAATGACAGAGCGAAAAGAAGCCTGTATAGAATAAAAAGTATTCTAAAACATGCACCCTGTTTGCAATAAGTCACTAAAGTACAAAAATGTGGCCAAGGAATTAACTTTATGTCCTGAATACAAAGCGTTATGTTTGGGGCAAATCCAACACAACATCACTGAGTACCACTCTTCATATTTTCAAGCATGGTGGTGGCTGCAGTATGGTATGCTTGTCATCCGCAAGGACTAGGGAGTTAAAAATAATAATAAAATAAACGGAATAGAGCTAAGCACAGGCACAATCCTAGAGGAAAACCTGGTTCAGTCTGCTTTCCAACAGACACTGGGAGACAAATTCACCTTTCAGCAGGACAATAACCAGTGTTGTAGTACATTACTTCTTAACCCCCACAGTGTCTCGGTGTCGGATACATTTGTACTCGGTCTCAGACAGCGAGGACTCGTAATTTCTTCCCGAGACCAGAGGAGTAAAAAACTAATTATTATCAGCTTCCATGACATGAATACAGTATTCTTAACAGCCTTTATATCTATAATAGACATGATTGCGCAGTGGCGAACCTATAGACCTTCAATGTGTGACAGGTTCGTGATTCTGAAAGGACAGCAACCGTAATACCAGTGCAGTCATGTAGGAGAATACACCTTTTGTAAAACACAAAAGGGCCAGTTGTGTAGTGGAGGCTATAAACCATATACCCACTTTTCTTTTCAGTGGGCATTGCGTATACTCACTTCTTAATCCTTACTGATGCATAGCAAAGTAGTGTAGTGGAGGTATACGACTTATCAATTATGTAGTACAATAGAGAAATCATGCACAAAGTAGCCTACACAATCCCAAAGCATATTTTCACAGGTAGCAAAAGTGTGTAGCTCTCAACTGGTTTTGGCATGGAGCAGCTCACAGAAGAATGACATCGGTAGCCGGTACAGTAGGAAAGACGTTTCAACTTATCTACCAGTAAATGGTAACTAAAGCAATAATAGGTATGCAAAAGTTTAGTCCGAAGTGTTGGTTAGTAGGCTATTTGTGATGTGCAATTGTCATCATGCGCTGTTTGCGTCAGGGGCGTAGACATGGACGGGTCTGGGTGGACAGAGGCCCACCCAATCAGATGTATGTGGTTTAAGCATTGTTGTGGACTTAAGACCATCACATTTTTGTATTTTTTTCTATAAAAATTGTGATTTTGAGAGTGAAAATCTGAAACATCTATAGGAAACCTCATTTAAAAAAAACATAGGAACATTTGTATTTTTCACACAGGGTGCCTTTCCTTCACTGGGCTGGCTGTTTGGCAAAATTTGAGTATACCCACTTTTCCAGGCACCACTACACCACTACATAAGGCTGATGGAAAGACAGCAGTCACACACAGCATGACGTTAAAGGATAAGCAGTCCATAAACTCGGACATAATAAGCCAATCATAAGAATACAAAAACACAACCATTAAGCATTTCCTAATCGGAAAACATTTCACGTATAGCACACAAAGTAACCAGTGATGTAAAGTTTATAGTGGAACTGACAGCGTTTTAACTACTTTGCAGATATGAAACAAACAGAAAATCATAATATCAGTAAAAAATATCAAATTCCCAGTTTATGCTACAAAACCAACTTTATAAAAGAGGTTTTAAAAATAGGTTATATTTGACTCAACGTTCCATGACGTACACTAAGGCATTGTTGGCAGAATAGACGGATCCAGTTCAATTCATGATTAATATAATTCACCAATACATTTCTTGGTAGTCCAAAAAATATTGCTATCAGGTTGTAAATCACAGCTGGCATTGTTTGCTGCCTCCATTCGCGATGCGATACACTGTTTTAGTGACTCAATATTCTGGACAAAAACGGACGAATATAACTAAGGCTGGGAATGTCAATAAAATCAAACTAGCAAGGGCAATGATCACAAGTCAGTCATAACGTGGCTAATAGGCTAGCGTATCTATTTATGTAGCAAGCTAAAAACACAAAGCCTAACGTTAGCTAGATAGCTAGCTGCTAGGAGGATGTCATACCATTGGAGGAGTGGGGGAGTTACTTTTCCCCCTCATATCGTTTTTCGGTGGCAATACACAGCTAGAGATGCAGGTGTCATTTGGTTAGCTAGCAAGAACTTAAACGGCTGTTATCCATTTAGCATATCTCTTGCGTTCACAAATACACTCTGGCTATCTACTTCGATTGCAGAGCACTCTCGTCTGAGTGTGCCACAGCGTAGAACAACTGATTAATTTACGAACACGCAACACCCGCTGAATATGGAATATGACCGGTGTCTATTTGTCAATAACTGCTGGTGCGCGATGTCTAATATTAAAGAAGTCTTGAGGTATTGCTCGCCTGAGGTTGAATACCTCATGATAAGCTGTAGATCACACTGTCTACCAAGAGAGTTATCATCTATATTATTCGTAGCCACCGATGCTGGCACTAAGACCTCACTTAACGAGCTGTATAAGGCCATAAGCTAATTTTTACATATTTTCAGAAATCCAAATCTACTGCTCATATTTGCGCAGTGACCGGTTGGCCTTCAAGACGGCATAAGTTTCCATACGTTTTTGTAAAAACGGTCCCGCCATTAAGTCAAAATGTGATTGGTTGATTCAACTGTCACTCCAAAATGTTGCCCTAATACAGTTGAACGGCAGATACCTTTATCTAGCTTCCAATGGCTGACTTTGCTAGCTAGATTTATCTCCCCAGAGACCAGCAAAGCATATTTTTCTCTCTTCAGTGTTAACCATTTCATTTCCAACAAAAACTAAAGAGATTAAATCAGAACATCATTGAAAATAATACAATTATCATTATTATATTATTATTATTATTTTATAAATCCTTAGCCATTCTCTGAAGGCGTAGAAGGCCCATTGTTCCCCACTGTTTGGGTTAGTAATAATTTGTAGAGTGGCTCTATTTTTCCCGCATTCTTTCACTATTTTGAATGTCTAAAGAACCCATATGTTGTTCTGAAATAGGAACACAGATATACTGGACATTCTGAACTCTTATTATGGTGGAGATTTGACAAAATTACAATCATGGTCTTGAATTGGACTCGCATTTTTCTGGTCTCGGTCTTGACTCTGTCTCGGACCCCTTGTCCCCCTCCCGGTCTCGGTCTTGACTCGGTCTTGCCCCGCCTCCGGTCTTGGTCTTGACTGACTCGATTTGCTCCGGTCTTGGTCTTGAATCGGTCTCGCTTTAGGTGGTCTCGAACACAACACTGACAATAACCTAAAACACAAGGCCAAATATATACTGGAGTTGCGTACCAAGACAACATTGAATGTTCCTGAGTGGCCTACAGTAGTAACAGTTATGACTTAAATCAGCTTGAAATTCTATGGCAAGACTTGAAAATGGCTGTCTAGCAATGGTCAACAACCAACTTGACAGAGCTTGTAGAATTTTTTAAATAATAATGTGTACAATATTGTACAATCCAGGCGTGCAAAGCTCTTAGAGACTTACCCAGAAAAACTCACAGCTGTAATCGCTGCCAAAGGTGATTCTAACATGTATTGACTCAGCGGTGTGAATACTTGTGTAAATGAGATATTTCTGTATTTCATTTTCAATAAAACATTTCTAAATGCGTTTTCACTCTCATTATGGGGTATTGTGTGTAGATGGGTGAGATATATATATTTTTATCCATTTAGAATTTAGGCTGTAACATAACAAAATGTGGTCAAGGGGTATGAATACTTTCTGAAGGCACTGTAAGTGTGTGGCAGAGAGTCGGGTGCTTCCAAAAGCCCATTATTAAATCGAGAGTGCTGGACAGTCGATCACCAAACATTTCTGTAGAAACGCGAACGATAAAGGCTTGCGCTCCTTTTTTTCCCTCCGCTATTGGTGGTAGGTGCACTTGATTCAGAATCCCTGCCCACCGGGTAAGAAAAGTGTTCCCATTTTGAACCATTTCAAAATGATATGTGTGGCTAAATCGAGAGCGCCTACTGCGCTGGCCAATCGGATAGCTCAAATCACCGTTTGATACTAGCCTATGTAAGATTGAATGACTTAAAACCATGATCAGAGAGAGACTGACAAAGAATACAGAAGAGAGCTGC